ATGAATCAGGCTAAAATTGCTGAGAAACTTCCTCATATACAGTCCCTCTGTATTCATGAGATGATTACAAGAGCTTTCAAGCATCTTTTTAGGGCGGTTATTGCATCTGTCAATAATATGGCAGAGATACCTGTGGCAGTAGCTGCTTCATTAAATTTCATGTTTGGCCACCGCAAATTGGAAGGGTCTGATAGGATCCCCAGTGAAGAGTATTGTCTCAGATTACAGTGGCTACAGAAATTTCTCTCCAGAAAATTTGGTTGGATACAGAAAGATGAGTTCAATCATTTGAAAAAGTTTTCTATCCTCCGAGGACTCTGCCAGAAGGTAAAGTAGCTCTGTGTTAATGTACTGCTACTTGTATCATAATTAGAGTTCTCTAATGATTTCATGCTTTTACAGGTTGGGTTAGAACTAGTTGCAAGAGATTATGACTTCGATTCTCCAAATCCCTTCACGAGCTCTGACATTTTTGGCTTGGTACCAGTGTGCAAGGTTGGTCTCTCCATGATACGATATTAGTTTGACTAATAGCAATTCAGTCACAATCTTTTATTTATCTACCGCTGGTTCAAATGCTAGACAATAATCTTTAAGACATATGTTCGTTTGAACAGCATGTGCTGTGTATTTCATCTGACGGAAGGACACTCTTGGAGTCATCAAAACTTGCCCTTGACAAAGGAAAACTAGATGATGCTGTGAACTATGGAACAAAGGTGTCATTTCTTTTGATAGCGACGTGATCATCATTCTTTAACCAACTTAATTGTTATCCAAGAGATGTTGACTTCTTGCATTTCCTAGGCATTAGTCAAGATGATTGCTGTCTGTGGGCCTTATCACAGAAATACTGCTTGTGCATACAGCCTTCTCGCAGTTGTACTATACCACACTGGCGATTTTAACCAGGTATCATCATCGCTTATCTTCTTCCCAAATGGAAACTTTGATTATTGGGTCAAGTAATAAATAGAGAGTTTGATGATCTCGTTCTAGGCATTGTATATAAATAATTTGATGAGAGGCACCGTTATCTCTGATGTTTTATCCTCTCTTGATCAGGCAACAATATATCAGCAGAAGGCTCTAGATATAAATGAGAGAGAACTTGGTCTCGACCATCCCGACACTATGAAAAGCTATGGGGATCTTTCTGTATTTTACTATCGTCTTCAACACTTTGAATTGGCACTAAAGTAAGTGATGCATGATGATCTCTTATAGTTATATAGTCATTAAAGATGGAACCCTACTTTGCTTTTCCATCACCTTTGTCATGTTGCCTTGGAATGAGTTATGGTCCAACCTTTCCTCTGATTGGCTCCGTTAAATTTATCTGTCATCTTTCTAACCATTTTTGTTTGTTATCTGTTTATAGATATGTGAACCGTGCGTTGTTTCTCCTTCACTTCACTTGTGGGCTATCTCACCCAAATACTGCTGCCACATATATCAATGTGGCTATGATGGAAAAAGAAGTAGGGAATGATCATCTAGCTCTAAGATACCTGCATGAAGCTCTAAAGTGCAATAAAAGATTGCTAGGAGCTGACCATATTCAGGTTCCTCCCTTATCTTTCTTGCCTCAATTTTCGCCCTTTCTTAAACTAATCATGCTTTTGTGATTTACTTTGCCAGACTGCTGCAAGCTATCATGCAATAGCAGTGGCTCTCTCTTCCATGGAAGCACATTCATTGAGTGTGCAACACGAACAAACTACACTTCAGATACTTACAGCAAAACTTGGATCAGATGACCTTCGTACACAGGTGATTGATTTGCTCCTAGTTCATTCGCATAAAAATCTCAGCCGGATATTAAATTCTTACTAGCAAAGTAACAAAGTGAATGTTTTGAACTCTGAGACATACATGTTTTGTTTTCTCCATTTGTCTCTCACAGGATGCTGCTGCATGGCTCGAATATTTTGAATCAAGAGCCATAGAGCAGCAGGAAGCAGCACGAAATGGAATCCCAAAGCATGATGCTTCCATCGCGAGCAAAGGCCACCTTAGGTACTAAAATGGAAACTCCTAGAACACATAAAGGATATGGTAATTATTTCATTGGCACCAAAGTCCGACCTTTCTTGCAGTGTATCAGATCTCCTGGACTATATAAGTTCTGATCCAGACACCAAAGGAAGTGTTGCTCACAGGAAACATCGGCGTGCCAGGGTAATTCCTAAACTTCTAAGATCCTTGTTTTCCTCAGGTCACTCAGTTTGAATTTTGTTGATCAAACAATAACCTGAATAAATACCTGTCAATTGTGTAGAACTCTGCTTGAAAAGGTTGAACTCAAACTATGCTGCTTGGTATTCTAGATGTATGTCTAAACTGGAATATTGATCTAAAGGCATTCCATGCACTAAACTGAATAAAACATGTGAGATGTTGAAACGAAAAGAATGAGATGGATATATCACTCTTAAGATTTCCTGTCAAAGGTTTGTGACATTACTTCTGTTTCGACAGGCATTACAGGTCAATGATAGTGTTGCATCAGCTGATGATGACGCCCATAGAGTTGATTCTCAGATTGGCATTGTTGCATGGAACGACGTGGCAGAAGCGGATGCCATTAAGAGTAGGACCGAAGTAAATGATCCTAATGCAGTTGTTGATGAGATCAAAATTGAGACTGGTGATATTGTAGTACACAGGCTAAATGTAGACAGCCAAACTGTGGAGGAGTCAACTTTAGATGAGGGCTGGCAAGAGGCATACTCAAAGGGGAGATCCGAAAATGGTGCTGGAAGGAAATTCAGACAAAGGCAGCCTGATCTTATGAAAAAGAGAATGTCGCTTAATAAACATTTCAACAGGAGACAGGATGTTCAGCAACAGAATATATCTTCCTTGCAGAAAACAAGCAAAAGACCCTCCCTCTCTAAGTCATCATCCCATAGGGCTATGAAGAATGCAGAGCTAGATGTCAGTACAAATACAACTAAACCACAGTTAATGGCTTCTGGTTCTGCTGCTGTGACCAGTACTACTTTGGCTTCAAAGTCTCTCTCATACAAAGAGGTTGCTTTGGCACCACCAGGTACAGTTCTGAGGCCAATATTAGAAAAATTAGAACTGAATTTGGGGAGAACTGAAACTCAGATATACAGGACTTCAAGTGCGTCAACTGGAGAAGAAAGCAAGTCTGACACTGTAATGTTGGATTTGCCAATCGAAGGCACAGAGCTTCCCTGTGAAAAACAAGAATCACAAGAAAGTGCTGAGTCAGTGGAAAATTTAACGTCAGAGTCTGAAGGGGATCTGGGGTCCTATTGTGGGCAAAAGGCTTCTGATATAAGCCAGACAAAGCTATCAGCCGCTGCAGAGCCTTACAACCCTGGAGGTTTCTTGTATATTGATCTGCAAAGCTCAGCAGCAACAACAGGCAACTACCCGATTATGGTTGCAGACCCTATTTCCTGGGCTGGAGTTTTATGTGGGATTCACTCACCACCATATTATAGTGCTAATCACTCCAATGGAGTTGGGATGCCAAGAAGCATGAATCCAGATGCACCAGAGTTTGTTCCAATGAGATCCGTGCAGAATAGCTCACAACATGCAGGTGGAGATGCAAGTGTATCCATCGACTCCAGCAGTTTCCTAAAAGCTGAGAAAGATGCAGTTGCTTTGAAGAAGCGAGAGCTAGCCAGCTTCATAGTAAAGTCATCCCAGAAGGAGGTTCCAACTGCTCTGAGGAAAACGAGCCCAAAGACGGAGTCAGGAGATACCTCCGCAAAGGATAGTGCATTAACCGAAATAGTTTATAGTAGAGAAGAGGAGAGTGGAGCGAATGCAAATGAGACAAATGGAGGTGAAGGGTATGTGATTGTGGCAAAGAAGAGGAGGAGGAAGAACAAGATGCGGCTTACAAACGTTGGGGCTGGGCTGTACCATCAACCGTCATCAGTTTGTGCATGATCTGATAAGTGGGTTTCATTAGGTTAACAAAATAAAGCTTCTTGTGAAGCAGAGAATATTCTCATCTCATTTGGTTTATTGGCTTTTTTCTTGGGATTAGGTAGTTGGTTGCTTCTATTCTTATGCTGCACTCTCGATGTAGCTTGACCCTGTTGTGTTGTAAATTTTTTGTCGCTATTTTTGTGAATTGTTTCTGATTTCGTGGAATCATTTGTTGCATCCACACTTGAGCTTTTTTAGAAGGTCTATTACAGTCCAGAAATCTACAGCAAAGAGTTCCTAAAATGTGGTGGACAATCTGAATCTCTTACCAGTTTTTTCCGGAACCAATTGAGAAGGATCTGATCCTGTCCATTTTGTGGTCGGTTCAAAATTAAAACTTGTCAGAAAGGGAAGACAGCTTACTGGCCCTTAATCCTACATGGCTACTCAGTACTACAAGAGTGTTTGGAGAGGTTTCGATTTGGATCGATCTCCTAACTGGCTGTACTTCTCCATCGGAATTGTGAGATCAATAATCCAGTTTAGTTTTCACAAAGAAACTTTTTCTATCCAAAATCATCATCGAAGCTTTCATTCCCACTGAGCGAAAAAAAGCTATGAATTTCCGAGTTTCTGAAGCAACTATTATTGTTGTTAGCAAGATTTATTCAAAGCTCTAATTTATGTGATTCCATAGGAAGGAAAAAAAAATCAAATATCTTCGCAACAAATATATACATGCTCAAAATAGAGTACTTAGATTAGATTCTTCGAAAAAAAAAAAAAGACACACCAAACAGGCTGCTGACCAAAGTTTTAGACAAAAAGTTTCCTGAAAATAGCTTAAATGGTAAATTACCAAACAAGCAGATGACCGAAAACACGAAACACACATACATATCTCCATAGCTTTATATGAGCCACCACGTCCCTTCTCCATTCTATTTGCTACAAGTAGTCGTAGTATTATCTTTTGTTTTTTTTCCCTCCCTTATAAAACTGCAACAACAACAAGCACAATCCAACATCCACTTTCCATTACTCTGTTAATATCCCTCGTAATTAAAATATTGTTTTGAATCACTTACCTAAGATTTTCAGGAACAATTGCGGCCTTAAAAGTGTTCTGTAACAAAGCTTGGAGAAGCAACATAGCCCTGCGCCAAGGAGTCCCTAAACTCTCTTCTTAAATTCTCACAAATGTTATCACTTGCTAAAGGTCATCTCCGAGTACCTGCATATACGCCAATGACAACTCAAGCGGCTATTCTTTTTCATGATCGGATCAAATTTCACAAAACTTCATCTACATGAATCCTATATGATATTCGACCTTAAGTCTACGAATGCAGTTACTTCAAGTCTAATCCGTAGACATAATGCATCATGATTCCTAATCCTAAATGATTTCATTACTTCCATATCAACCAATGATCAATTTGACAGAGTAGGTTCGAGTTAACTTCAAAAGCTCACCTACGAGGCTGCTTGCTTGGGTTGTTGCTTTGCCGTTGTGAAACCCCATTCTCTGCAACCTCTACATAGATGGAAAGTAGCTTAACTTCAGAAATAATGATCCCACAATCAAATCTCATTTTAGCAGCTGAATCTCTCCCTCATTAGCCATTTCGTGATTCAAATAGGAAAGACAATTTTTGAAAAAGTGCTTCTTGAAACAGCATTCATCATACATATTTTTATGTAATAATTATCCATCACATCCAACCACATAGTCTTTCATTATGATTTCTTTCTTTTAATGCAAATTCCTTCAATAGTAAGCGTAATACTATACACAAACACCTGATGTGTAACCATTAGAATTATAACAGAGAGAGCAAGTTTTGCAATATGACTAACCAGGCATTTCCATGGGTTTGACCAGGTCATTAAGAGTATTTGTGCTATTATTGTCTTTGCTGCAAAAAAGGTAACTGGATTAAGCAAGCTAAAAATGTATGTTTTGAAAATATAAATATATGCCAAGCATATGTAGTAGGTTTAAATAAGAGAAAAACACTATGCAAATTTGCGTTAGTTAAAGCTTTACACTATTAACATTGTTTTTGCATTAAAAACATTTTAGAGAACGAAGGCAATTAATCTCTCAACCTGGAGGATCCTGCAGAGGAAGGTAACGAAGAAGGTAACCCTGGTTTGTTTGCTTGGTTAGCCGCATATAGTGGACTGTATGCGGCCCCTAAAGCTCCTGGACCATTCAAAACTGGCATCCTGCCAATCATATAAACAGATCTCAGCACCAAGCAGGCCAAAGAACAAAATCAGGAACTAGATATAGATGAAGAGCCCATAGCATTCGAACAAACAGTATCCAGAATGAAAGTAACCATTCTAATGATATTACGCCACCACAGGTTTTGCTTTTCCAGCATGTAGACCCGCACAAAGGTGATTAAAGGGACAACATTTAATAACACAAATAACACGAAAATTTAGCTAAAAATACGCACAAATCTAATTCTTAATTCTTTGAAATGCTTACAACCAAGAACTTCTGAAAACTAGCATCCACAAAGTTCATCAAGAAGGGGAAGAAGTTAGCTTACCATGTCATCTCCGGATTTCTAACACCATTTTCAGACTGGACATATCCTGGATAAGCCATTCCTAAAGTCGGAACCCCACCATGCTGACCACCAAATTGCATAACTGCATTTCAACTTGAATTTAGTTAGAAAATAATGCAATAATCTACAGAAGTAACAATAGCAAGCAGATTATCCCCAAGCTGGTACAACATAACTCTGAAAAGAGTATATATGGACAACCAGGCCTAAGTGGCTCGGCATCAATAGCTTTCAATTTCAAAACCATGCATGATTTGATTCTGAAAATTCTTTCAACTCATCCATTTTACACAGAAAAGCGTCATCTAAAAAACTTACCAGGCAGAAAAGTATGGAAATTGGAATTGTCAGCAGATGCCAGACTTTCTGGCCGCCCCATCATTTGGGATCCACTATACATAAAAGAGCCGCTTCCACTAGGCCGGATAGTCTCTTTTCCTTTAGCAATCAATGCACCTGTTTTCGATGCAGATTCTACTTCACTAGGAGGATACTGATTTCTTGATAAGCTAGTTTTCTGGGGAGAGGAAGACAAAGATCTGACAACAGCAGAGTGCTGATCAAAACCCTGGGCAGAAGGTCTAATAAAGCTTTGGCCAGTGCCTTTTGAATCTCCATTGAGTTGCATTTGTGATGAAAATCTGTCATCTTGACTATGAGATTGCGGGTAAAACATGTTCCCAGTAGCAGGTGCACCTCTACTTTGACTAGAAGACTGAAGAGCCTTGGCAGTCCAAACTGATGAAAAACCGGATTTTGTATTCCTATACTTCTTCCCAGAAGGCGTGCCACTTTCATTCGTGTGGAGTCTTTCCATACCAACTTGTATACCATGTATCACATTACTTGAGGGCACTGAAGGATAAAATGGAGGAGAAGCGGAACTCAAACTTGACGCAGCTACATTCTTTTTGGCATGGACACCTTGATTCTCAGTTTTAGCAGGGGCAGTTGGTGAACGGTGTGACATTTTCTCACGAGAGTTTTGAGACCCATTAGAATTTCGTAACCTACAAATTCAGTACGCAAGTACATTATAGTATAGATAAACCTTCACTCAACTAGGGGAAAAAAAATTAAGAACTCACTGTTTGCTTTGCTCGGAATTTGCTAGATTTTCATTCCTCAGGGGAGTCTCGGATTTCCTGGGCCCTCTCCCTCGTGAGACAGCTTTAGGAACATAAATTTGCTGTCCATTACTGGCTAATGTGTTCGAACTGCTCCCTCTAGCGTATCCACGCCCTTGTCCCCTACCCCGACCACGACCTCTGAATCGGCCTCTAGGCATCCTCTGCTGTGTATCAAATTCAGTTTAAGAAGGAAATGATAAAGGTAAGAGGTGGAAAGTGCATAAATATAACAAAAGCTAACATATGCCACATGTACATGTTATAAAGAGATAGAGGGATCTAAAATTATTTTAAAAACCATAGACAGAAGCTTTACATCATAATGTTTTTCCCCAGTATTCATCTCTTCAAATTTGTCATGTCCCCATTTTCTTTCCTCTCCAGATCCCCACTGTCTTCTCCCACCACGCATTCGCCTACGAAAGCAAGATAAAGAATTATATCAATAGACAGATAGAAGACAGAGAGAAAGAGCTATATTCAGAAAAAAATTCATATTCCCAATAGGATGAACTAACCCCAGTGCAGCTACTCAAAACCCTCATGGTTTATAAAATTGCAAGATAATAAGAGGTCAATAACTCCACCTTTGAGTGAATTATCTCTCCACTAAATGCAATTTCATACTAAGCTAATACCTACTTTGTACAAATCCAAGCCTTGCATAATAAGGTTCAGTTGATAGCATATAGTGACAGATTTCGAAGTCACAAACACAGTAAAGAGAGTATACCTGTTTCCGCCAGCAGACATTTCTTGAAACCTATCATCATGCATATAAAAAGCTCCACCTGTGGGAACTGCAACTTGTTGCTTCTCCTTTTCTTTTTCTTCGTCTCCATTCATATCACCTGCCTCCTTCATCATACTACTCCTCTTGTCATCATCGATTCCACCACTTTCCTCCTCCTCCTCCTCAAAACTATCCTCCCCATCTTCGTCATTATCATACTTGACAGTACCAATCTGTTCATCAGATAGGTCAGAATCAACCTCAGCCCTCTTATTTTCAACATCTCTATCAGATTCAGCATCATCACTATCGTCATCACTTGCTTCTCTCCTCCTCGTGGCCAAGGAGCGGTTCAGCTCCTCGGGATCACTCTCATATTCCGCTTCAGCAGTCGCCATAAATTCTCTCTATAGAAAACCTAAAAAAGGAGAGCGGTACTCGTAAATCCAAGACCTAGATGAAGAAATTGCATAGAGTAATCGAAGGAGTCGCTCAATCACTCCATACGAATCGATGAAGAAGAAAGCTCGCGCTTACCTAAACCCTATCTCAGCTCGAGAGGCGTTCTTCTGCGATTTTGGGGGTTTCCAATGAATCAATCGAATGGAGCAGACCTTTTTAACTGTTAATTTAATCGATTTTTGTTTATTTCGCGCATTAAATATAACGACTGTGACCTAGGTTGACCCAAAAAAAAAGGAAAAAAGTATTTAACGGGCCCAATAGGAAATTGGTAGGCCTTTTAACGGGCCAGAATCTTTCTGAGCCCATTTAATAGGTTGCGTTGTTACTACGAACTCATTATAAATACGAAACCGTAGCCCCAAATCGGAGATTCGATACCGTCTGCAACTCTCAGCTACTTTTCCCCCAATTCTGAGCTCAACATCGAACCCTAGCTCAACGAACCAATCATGTCTTCCAAGCAAGGTACGTTACTGATACAGAGATTTGTGTATGTGATTCGTTACCGATTAAGGGTTTAAAGACATCGTTTACGATCTTCTTTTGTTTTTTTAAACAGGAGGAAAGGCGAAACCTTTGAAGCAGCCAAAAGCTGATAAGAAGGAATACGACGAGGTGACTCTACTGATTCTTTTTTTAAGAGTTGGATTTTCTGTAGATTTGCCTTCAAAATCGTTTTATAGCTTTAGACCTTGAATCAAACGATGCTGTTGCTTTCTGGATCTGGTTTTTATTGTCCAACTAAGTTGAATTCTTATAATTTATAATCACTCAATTACACATAAACATTTCTTTGTTCTGATTCAATGATTTACACGCAAGTTCGAATTTTGATCCAGTGTTTTTAAGAGCACACTCATGACTTCTTCACTTGATTTTGTTTGCCTACTGTTCGTGTATCGAGGATTTTATACATTCTCTAATTTCTGGAATGTTGATTTGGCATCATTGCAGACGGACTTAGCTAACATTCAGAAGAAAAGAGATGAGGAAAAGGTTAGTTCCCATTTTGGTGCTCTGTCTTGTTTTCCCTCTTGTTCATATGAAGTTTTGTGGTTGGAATAATGCATCTAGTTAGACATCGTTCTATGTTTGGGCTCATCTTTTAATGGAAAACTATAAAATAGTACTAATCAAATATTGTATTCTTCACAAGAGAGCTTCTACTTTAGAGACATGGATTTTGATTAGGTTATGCAGTATGTGCCACTTTGTCAGTTTTTTCAACTAATTTAATTATGACGTTATACATGGCAACTACAACAAAATGGATCCTTTTTATTAACTATTTGTTAGTTTAGGTATTCATTACAGATTCTTTTAAGATGATATGGACTAGTTTCTTCTTACTCTGATGAAATAGGTGACCCTTTGCCCATAGTTAGGAATTAGGATGTTTAGTTTACTTTGTTTCCACCCAATAATGTAATAGCCTCTTTTGCCTTTGTACAGTGATCATTTGTTACTGAAAGCCTGACCCGTTTTGTTTTGAATGTAAATAATAAAACAGGCTCTTAAAGAGCTTAGAGCCAAGGCATCGCAAAAGGGATCCTTTGGAGGTTCTGGACTTAAGAAGAGCGGCAAGAAATGATCCGTTCTATCCATGAGTGTGTTTTAAAATGCAAATTTATCAAGTGAAAACAGATAATCGTGTGATGATGTAACTTTTTATCATAATTCGAGAAGAGTAACTTCGCTTCTCCATACATATGATGCTTTCTCTATTTTTCATGAAAAAGAAAAATGGTATCTACCTTAAAATCATACTAGGCTGTCTTGTATCTCTTATCTCCGAATCAAGTATTAGAAACTGTTTTAGCTGTCATAACTTGAAGGTGAAAATATGTTGCATTGATAGTTGAGAATAGGAGCGTAACTTGACTCTACAAGATGAGGTAGAAACTGAGGTTGGTGACAGGTGATTTGACCAAAGCGGTATGTGTAATGGCTAACAACTGTTCTTAAGAAGTGCATACTCGATAGATGAAATAGCTACATATAGCCCATGAAAGCAAAGCTGATCCAGAGGAACTTTAGAGCCTGAAGGAGCCTGCCTTTCTTCTTGAACCGTTGATTTTAGCAGAGGTGCGCGGATCAGAGAACTCGTAATACATGTCTGTGAAGAAATTGTCAACAATGTCAAGGTACACAGGACTTCTGATGCTTGAATAGCATCTAAGCGCTTCCCTTACATCCAATGCGTGATCCACGTCTCTCAGATCCACCATGTTGAGATCTTTCATCTTTTGCGCCAATGCGTCACCTCTTTTCTTAGCATCCTCGAATGGCTCTGCCTCTGCGACTTTCTTCGGTTTCTTTTTATGTTGGTTGCTGAGACTCTTCTGGTGTGTTGTATCTGCCACAGCCGTGTCACAACAGAGAACGGAGTAGGTTTCTTTGGTTTGGGAATCTTCTGGACAGCGGCGGCTGCAGGAGTAGGGGCTCAAAAGAGGAGTGTTGCTAGATAAGTTTTTGTAATCACCAGAGCAGATAGTGGACTTGATGCTACCAAGAGTCTTCTTCAAGAAACGACCAACTCTCTGAATTGATTTTGATGTAGGTTTCATCATCTTTCTTGCTGCTCATTTTTTTGAGAAGATAACCATATTTATGTCACTAGGGAGCTCAAAAGGAAACCTAACATTGATTTAGTGGCATGTAGTAGTTGAAGAAGGAAGCTGATAATGTCAGACTTTAAGAAGGTGTCATCTTGTTGATTGTGTTGTCCACTTTTATAGGTAAGCAATCGTCTTCACATTGATAAGCAGTGTTCAAAATGGTCCCCTACTTATCATTGCCACGCCCACCACTACTCTCTCATACATGCCAGTTGACTCGGGGTAATATCAATCAGAACTAGGCCCATAAAGCCCATTAAAGAAGCCCATATTTTTGGCGGTAACCGATCAAGATCCATTTTGGGTAGTAACTAAAAACCCTAAAGGACGCCGCTACACGGTCGTCTTCTCGGAGCCGCAAATATTTCTGTAGAGCAAACTTTGATCATCCCCTGCATCTGCGGCAATGGTAATCTATTGGCATTTTGTTTCCGTGTAAGCTCATGTGTGACATATGTATGACCGGTGCTTTGAAAATGGCAGGGTAAGGGAACAGGGAGCTTTGGTAAGAGGAGGAACAAGTCACACACGCTCTGTGTGAGATGTGGCCGCCGAAGCTTTCACATCCAGAAGAGTCGTTGCTCGGCCTGTGCTTATCCAGCTGCCAGAAAGAGGACATGTATGTACTCTCTCTATTTCTGTCTCCGTCTTGAAATTTTGGGTCCTGATGATGGGGATTATTTAGTTTTGTGAAAGAGTCCTGGAATTTATGATTGGTGATTTTGTGGGCAGATAACTGGAGCGTGAAGGCAATAAGAAGAAAGACAACAGGAACTGGTAGAATGAGGTATCTCGGCAACGTGCCTCGTAGGTTCAAGACTGGCTTTAGAGAAGGTATAGCTACATTGCTGCACCCTTTTCTTCACTTTATAGATATGTGATTATAATCTAAGACTTGCTCAATCTGATTGATGGAATTGTGTTGATCAGGTACCCAAGCCACCCCAAGAAACAAGGCTGCAGCTGCTTCTTCCTAGGCATTTGTTCATTTTGTGTTTTGCCGTTTGTTTCTTGCGTCTGATGTAGCTTTTTGTTTTATTCTTTTTTGGAGGAGAAACTACTTTGTTTTGTTTATTTTTTGCTATTGTACTTCTTTCGTCTGCAATTCTATCCCAGATTGTCTCATCAATGGTATATCAAATGAAATGCATCCGTGCTATTACTGTTTAAAGAATTCTAGCAAAACTCCATGTAATATGGAGGAGTTACAAGGACAATCCAAGTATCTATCAGTTTGGTGGTGTATATTGACCGAAGAGGTGTTTTTCGTAGTGCAACTGTTTGAAAGTTTGCTCCATTTCCGGAAACGCCGATAGTAGTAACAACTCCAAAAGATCAAACGCCAGTTGCTTCAAACACACTGATGACTGAAACAACAATAATTTAAACAATGAAATCAAATGTTTGAGCTTAAGCATCTCACAACCTGAAATCAAGCCGAATGTTGTTTACCTGAAGGAAGAAGTAGAGATCTTCTGCACATTGTTCATACTCCTTTTGTCCTATAAGACTCACTATAGTAGCTGGGGCTTTTTCTGTAAGTGAGGGTTAGTTTCAAACATATATGTTAATTCAACTAAGCTTAGAAGATATCATTGATGCAAAAAAGTATCTGATGACAGGACGCTCATTACCCATCATCAGCTCATGAACAAACTTTGCTCGTCTCTCTGCTTCTTGTCGCTGCTCCTCTTCAGAAATGCTGGATTGTTGCTGCCTTTTTGGATGCTTTGTCATGAATACACCATCCGGCCATAGTATCTGAGAGGTCATACCAAAGATCTCTTTCAAATCTCACCATGGATTGAAATATAATAAGACCAAAGACATCAGAGAGATATATATCCCTGTTAGGCATACTTTTTCCATTATTCACTCTGATTTTCGCCACTACCTCTCACTGTGCAAAAGGAAGGGGTTCGAGTGGAGATTCTCACCTGTTCAACCCGTTGAATTCCAGATGCAACTACAGTTCCCCGCCGCAGAAGACGGATTTTCTCAAGTACCCAATCGTCCAATGCGTCGCCCATCCCAAGTTGAAGTATCTGTTTGGCAACCCAGAAAGCTTTCCGCCTTGTGTTGTGCAAAAATACATAATCAGAAAGAATTACTCCATTTTCTTGACTGAGAAAGAGAAAATTAGTATGTCCCCTGGTTATAAAGTTACGCACCTGATCCACCCACCCTCCTGGAGTTGTAAGACAACATCTACTAAGTCTAGCAGGGGTAATGTTAACTTTGGAGGAACCCACTGCAAGAAAGGCATGATATAACAAAAACACTAAGTTAGAAATACAAGCACTGGCCTCATGCTTTCCCACAATGCAAAAGACAAAATCATCAGAAGAAAATCTTCGATTGGCTGATGCTAGGGTGTGGATGTTATATACCTCGGTGGGCAGGCCAACGCAGGCCACATCATCGGCATGTCCAGTACCCACTTTTAGCCCGCCATTTTCTTTGCGGTTTCTCACATCTAAATCAGGCGTCTTCATATGATCATTTCCAAGAGTTTTCACTTTTGACTTCACATCATCCACCATAACGTTATTCCTCATATTTTGACCCGATTTCCCATTCTCTGAACTTAGATTTTCTCTCCAAGGAAGAGGACCTGGCGTTGCCTCAGTCATATTTGCCATATTTGTAGCGACAGTGGATGGCTTACTGACAGGTTTAACTGAAACAATTTACTAGTGACAATAAATTATACCGAACTAATTAAAATCAAAATCTAATTGTGTTGTGGATTACTCACCTGTTAGCGTCTCAATGATTGAGAAAGAACTTGAGAAAGCATAAGTCTGCACAGCAGCAACAAGTTACATATCAAAATTTGTCAGCACTAGTGATCTTTGAGTCAGCAGAGGAGAATCTACCTGGGAATCCACACTGAGGAAGTCCCAAACTTCAATTGATCCTGAAATTCGATGTAGCTGCAAAAGCTTCTGAGCAAAGTAGAAAAGGATAATTCGCAGATTAAGGAAAACCGGGGAAGCACTTCAATGTAAAAGCAAACATTCACATTTAGTTAACTAGGATAAATAGAAGGCGTGTGAAAAGAACTGTGTACAAAGGTTCAACATTAGAACTATCAGCCTAGCTACTTGAGTAGATCAAAAATACAAAGGTACTTAACATCAGTAGATCAAGACAGGCCTGACTCTACTTCAGAGTAAAATTACAGAGCACTAGATGGTGAAGGTTCATACATAAGAACATTCAGTATTAGCTTCTCAGAAATCCAAACTGCAATGAAAACCAAAAGCTAATTCATGGTAAACCTACTCATCGAAAAAACAAATCCAGTAGAAAAATAAAGCAAAATCCATATTACAAAGCACCATGTAAAGCATGAACAGAGAGTAGAAAACAAGAGACATGGCGTTTGACCTTGATATACTCGTTAAGTAGTACACATCTCTCTTGGATAACAGGTATATCCACGCCTGTTGATAGGAAATGCTTCGGCGGTAAATGAAGATTGTACTCAGGAAACACTTTAAGCCGTTGGTGAAGCTCTTCAAAATGTCGAAATCTGAAAGTTCACGTAAACAGAAAATGTAAAAGACAAAGCCCCAACATCAGATCTGTAGCAATATTATTTGATCACCTTCTTTTGATAGACCAGCTATGATTATTTTCATCTGTGACTGCAACTGAATACACAGCAAACATCTTAGAACTACCCTTCACAATATTGGCACCCAGAACCTGCAAAAAGAACCTAAATTTATCTATCGTATGATACGCCATAAGGACATACTTGTCTGCAGCTGTATGGGCGTTTAGAACCGACATTTAACTGTACCTCACATCTCAACTTCGCAAAGGAATCAACCAACAAAGAACTTCTAGGGGCATTGGGAAGTTCACTTTCTGCCACTGAAAAGTATGATGCAGATGAAGTTGCAGACACTCCACTGTTAGATCTAGTCAAAGAACCATCTTCAGAATCATCGCTATCATCATCGCCTATAACATGACCAGAAATTCTGGATCTCTTCCTGCCAGATTGATGACTGGGTACTTGCTGATAACGTTCATGCCCTTTACTGGTCTTTTTGAAACAACGGCCTGAAATTTCAAGTGGATGGTGTATCCGTGAAACACCAAGATTTTTCTTCGTTCGACCATCCCAGACTCGAGTCCCAGGACTGTTTAGACCTGTTACCGTTTCCTCATCCTCGGATGTATAAGAATGACTACTCTTTGTTTGCTCCTCGTCCTCTTCAGCAGAGGAATAACTTGATAAGTGACTGTCTGTAATTACGACTTTACGCTGACTGGACTCTGTTGCATTCACAGTGTTTCCATTGAAGTCACTATCCTTGCTAGACCATCTCGGGGGCACGCGCTCCTCAACTTTCTCACCGTCCTTCTTTTTATAGTTTCTTCCTTTTGCCCACACACTTTCAAGATGCTCAGGAGCAAGGGTCTCAGTTTTCCTTTGTGACATCATGTCTAATACGTCACCCCATCCCTCTCCTCCTCGATGTCCTTGAGGATCTTTACTACCATCACCTATTTTGGAAGTTGATGGGAAGGAGTTCCACGATCGGGAAGATCGAGTGTCCATAGAAAGCAATGGATCTTTAGAGAGATCTGTTACATGCTGTTTATCTGTAGCGCTTTTTCTTTTAGAATTTTTCTGCTGTTCATTTTTCAATTGCACAAGCTCAACACCTGTGACAGAGGGGTCCAGATATCTAGAAAAATGATCAGGAGAAACATTTGAGAGATCTTCAGACTGAGAAGCCTCTTCTGCAGAACTAGATCTGTTACTAGTCTTTATCCTTGACATTACAGCAGCTTCAATCCTCTCATTTATGAACCTGGTAGACAAAATGAGTACTGTTGCGGTAAGAATAAGAGGAACAAAATGAGGTGTAAAGAGGTAAAAGTTTACCGAGGATTGGCTAAGTTTAGGACTGGTCGGATCACACAGCAAGCAAGAAGCTCCCTCACGGTATAGTGGAAAAAAGCACAGTGCAGATCCTCTGGCCTAAATGTTAGTAAAATGAGGCTGTTCATTATATGTTGCAGAACCTGCCAAATAGAGACCATAGTATCACCATCTGATAGCAATAAAGTGGTAAAACATCCAACAGAAAAACCTATATAACAACTCATCGCAACTTAGACTACAGAAAACCTTATGCTCGGATTCAGGAGAGAACAAAGCAGGGTGCAATTTATCTTCAGCGGCCATCACACGTTTTAGTTCTGAGTCTCTTTCTTCAAAACTGAGGCTTCTCCTTTGTTGTCTCTCAATCTTTGCTTGACACTCGCGGAAAAGCTCCACACGACGGCATATAATATCAATTAGATCCCTAAATCGATACAACAGTTTAGTTTCTTGAAGAAGCGATCATAACAGAAACTCAAGATGAGAAGAAGACACTAAGAAGAACAGACCTTGTCAATAGATCAATAAGATTTACGTTCCTAAACCGCCGTGAAAGTTCCCCAAGAACATTATTAATAATAAACACCAACTCTTCAGGACCTTGCTTATCCGGTGTAATGCGGGAATACCAAAGATCCAGTACCCATTCAGAAATGAGGTGACGGGTGAAGTGATCAATTGCATCCTCAACAACTTGAGAGTTCACTTTACTTCTCCAGTCAGAACGTGGAGCTGCTTTCGGGAGTTCGGGTATTTTATTTAGAGTTGGTGCATTCAGAGACGAAGGTTTGCTGTTGTAAGCTGCAGCTTTTCTTTTCATTTCAATATCGAATGAGAAATAACGAAGGAAGATGATCAAACACGCAGCAGCAGGGAGATTTACCCAAACCGATGAGCTTGTCACTGCAGACATTTAAGGATATTTATTAGAGATTGCTGAGAGAAATTACTAGAGTGGAACACATAAGTAGCTACTGAACCAATACTTCAGAATAAAATCTGCTCCAAAACCAAAACTGAAGATACACAAGAGTTCATAGTATCGATCAAATAAGAACACAAAACTTACGGGACATGAGGTAGGATAGTCCGACGACGCATATCACAAGGATTACAATTCGTTTCTTGGCCTCCTCTACTAGGTCCCGAACAGTCACCCCCTGCTTCTGGGTGCTCATAGTTGAATCCGTCCTTTCTTATCTCACACACGCTTAATCCGTTCTTCAATGAACTTACCCGACAGAGCAGACGGATTTTATTCAGAACCTAAGGACCCATTCCCGGGAAATTAGGACCTGATCTTCGAAATACATCCGGATCAGGAAAATTAGCTGGTTTCGAAACGATGAAAAGGAAGGAGAGGGAGAGAAAATCAATGCTTTTTGGCAATCAAATTGATGGAATCAGCGGAAATGGATTCTTTCCCGGAGACGGTTGTTGATTCCGTACGTTTCTCCGGCGAATGTTCGAGGGAAGAGATAGTAAGATCTTTTAATTCTGTCTCCTGGTGGTTGTTTGCATTTCATTAATGTTATTTTTTGTTTTAACAAATGGCAATCAAGTCCATATGATATCATCGCTAGGTGTCGAACCTTGGGTTGGGCTCACCAAAACCTTGGGCTATTTTGTAATTTTTATCCAACATTAAACTATAATGACTGAAATGCGCTTATCACCGCCTTTCCTTATGGGAATAAATTAAATTATTATCCAAATTAGGGTTCACATTTCAGGGAAGAGAGCTCTGCATCTATGGAGGCTACGCAAGAACAAGTCGGTTTGCTCGACAAGATCCTCCCGCCGGCCCTAGCAGACGCCGGGCTCGAAGATTGTGCTCTGCCGCCGGAATCTATTCAGGAAGCATTTCGTAAAGCCGCCAACGCCGTGAAGTCTCGCGCAGCCTCGATTTTCGAACACGAGGAGGAAGGCGGTTGTGTAGCGGATCCGATTCCGGAAGCTTCTGACAAGATCATTATCGGCGGGGATAATGAAAGGGATACTGGGCCGTGTTTAGCCGGAAAGGGCAATGTGAAGTTGGCTGAATCGGAACAGGCCGGAGATTTGGTTGTAGCAGGCGAAGGAGGAGAAGGGAAGAGCTGCGTTGATGGTTTGAAGGATCTAGACGTCGAAGGTATTGAGAGCAGCAGTGAGAAGAAGGATCAGAGTGATGAAGATGAAGAAGAGGAAAGGAAACCAATCTTGGTTGAAGGATTTGTCTGAGATTCCTCACATTGTCAGAAGTGTTTTTCCCTCGTGTATATAAATAAAAAGTATTAGACTTTAACAGCTTACAAGTCCGTTTGCGTTGCTTTGTTGATTCCGTGGTGCTTAAAAGTTCGACCTTTTTCTCCATTGGCAATGGTGACAAAGTTTATGTATCGCCTGTAAGACACAAAACTTGATGAATTACGATTTGAGGAAAAAAGAGGCGATTCTCTTCAGTGATTTACTTTTTCTGCTTCTATCCCACAAACCATTGCTATTCAGTTTCAAATTCAAGGAGACATGCTAATGTTAGCAAATAGCAGGCATGTCTCTTTTCTATTTGGTCTTGCAGAATCAAATCCCAAATTCAATTGTATGGTTTGTTGTTAGTGACTGCTCAACTCTCCTTCTGTCAAACGCATTCATAAAAAGATTAAACCTTTGGTGTTAGTAGCTTCTGTGTATGGAGCAAGAGTGTCAGCAGAGAGGAGAAAAGAGAATGATTGGGTTCTTTCTGTTGTTGAGTTTGCTCTTCAGCAGAAAAGCAAAGATGGAGCAATATAGAAGTTATGATATGTCTGACTGAATGTAAATCTTATACTGCAATTTATTTTGTTTAGCATGTCATCACAGATAATGCCCACTTGCATATTTCCAAAAGATCAGAATTGAGGCTGCCTTAAGATCATCATACTTAAGAACAGCATAGAGGCTGCCTTAAGATCATTTTACTTAAGAACAGAATAGAGGCTGCCTTAAGATCATCGTCTTTAAGAATAGAATTGAGGCCTTCATAGCAAAATGATTTAGAAAGACAGTGATTCATCGGCACCATGGGGCTCTGAATTCAGCCTGTTCAAAGGGAGAGATGAGACCATTTTGCTCATATAAGGGTAGGGAGATAAAACTCCTCTAGGCTCTAGCATTCACCCATGGCTCCACACCCCAAGTACAATAGACGAGTGATGAAGAAGAAGAGCAAACCCATCACCAACACCAATTCAGCTTATAGTATGAGTATGACTGTATGAGTATTCAGTGTGGTGCCTGTATTTCTTGGTCATTTTGGGTCCAAAGAGTACTCTTGTCTTCTCTTAGTCAAGTGACTTTTATGTAATTAGAAAGGCCCATGTTTAGTATAATTTCAAATAAATTATATATTCGAAGGGCCCATGTCTATTATGGCCTCGAGCACTGTACACGCGCGAAACTCGTCTTCGGTCACACGTTGCACGCTCCTGCACGCACCTTTTCGATATCACATTCGGATCCGATTTGTTCACCCGCCGGAGGTCCACCGCATCATCTCTAAACGGCTCTGGCGAAGAAGGATCGGCGCTACTACTGGAGGACGATAGGCTGTTTACTTTTACAAATAACGGAGAAATTTCCCAAGCGAAAGGTTTCATTTTTGAGCTCCACGTTGAACGAACTAAACGGTTTCTCGGATCTCACTCTTGCTTCCTCTCGACCCAGGTTCTCCCTTCACAACTTAATTTACGTTCCGTACGTTTTCGGTATCTTAGTAGTTTTTGCTCTGTTGCCCACAAAGTGTTCGACGAAATGCGTGTATGAAAAACTAAGGATTCGCATATCATGAAATTTTCAGTGCAATGGAGAAAACAGACGAAGAGAGGAAGAAGGCTCAGATGCTGGACGCTCGGGCCAGAAACATTAGCCACAATGTTCGCTGCACTGAGTGTGGAAGTCAGTCCATTGAAGATTCACAGGCAGATATCGCTATTCTCCTTAGACAGGTGTGTCCTTTACTCAGTTTTTTTTTAACTTGAAGATAGTTTTGCTGTCTACTCTTCTAATACACCTGAGTTTTGTAGTTGATCCGCGATGAGATAGGAGCTGGAAAAACGGACAAAGAGATCTACAATAAGCTGGAGGATGAGTTTGGGGAGACAGTGCTTTATGCCCCAAAATTTGATTTGCAGACCGCGGCCTTGTGGCTCACACCGGTCAGTTTAAGCAGTCAATAACAACTGAAACCTCCAATTGGGACTTTTAGTTTAATGGACTCTGGTGTTTGGTCTGTGACAGGTTATAATTGCTGGAGGTACCGCTGCAGGGTTGGTTTACCAGAAGCACAGGCAAAGGAAAAATGTAGACATCATGGCGTTGAACCTTATTAGAGGTGTCCCATTGACTCCAAAAGAGAGAGTTACCATTCTTGATGTTCTTATTCCACCTTCCCCTCCGCCTCAGGGACTTGCTTCCCGATTGAGAAGATGGCTAAACCGTTAGTTCCCATGTCTCCCTAGCTCTCTTGTTCTTGGCTCAAATCTTATCTTGTTAGCCAAATAAACAATGTGTTTAAGGAGTGAGTACACATTGATTGTCTAGGAGAAACAGATAGGGACTGCTTTGCATCCATTACAAGCAATTTTCTTTCCTATAAAGTTGGAAAATGGATTGTTCTATAGAAGATCTTGGGATGAGAATATGTATGAAGAAAGCATAATTGAAAGTGTGGCACTTGTTGTATCTTTGCTGTGGACTTGAATACAGAGAGCGGGTCGTTGGTTATATTACTTCCGGCACAGGGACATCTTTCTTTCCAAAGTAGTTTGTGTGCTAAATCAGCTTTTTTCCACATCTTTATCTTAATTAGCCGAAGCTCACAAAATGTATTATTGACCTGCTTATTATACACAAGATTCTCGCTACACAAAGAAATGAGTAAGCTATGTTGCATGAAAACGAAAACGAAAACGCGGAAACGAAACATTTCGGAAATAGGAAACGGTTTTTTTCTAAAATTAGGGATTATAAATGTTTTGGAAACGTATGAACATACATATATATATATATATATATATATATATATATATAACATTAACATAAAACTATATTTAAAAAAATGGTTTAAACAATACAAGTCCAAAACATCAAATATTAAATAGGTTAATTAAAATTCTAAAACATTAAAAGATTCAAGTTTAAATATTTAATTTAGACCAACATTTTCATTCGCATTAGTTTCATCAAAGAAGCTACCTCCAAATCTGCTTTGTCAAGAGAAAGATCTTAAAACTCAAAATCTTCCGATATTAATTAGTTATATGTATTATAAATCTTAATAAATCTAATTATTATTTATTAAATTTGCAAAGTCAATAAAAAGGATTTGCCGTGTTTCCATTTTGGAAACGTGAGTTTCCATCATGTTTCCAAACATAGATTTTTAGGAAACGCGTTTCCATGACTTTTTTCGTGTTTCCGAAGAGTTTCCGTTTCCGAAACGAGAAACGGACCTCAGTTAGAGTTTCCATGCAATGTTTACTAAACAGAAAGAAATTAGTCTTGCTCACAAGAATGAGGCTTGTATGTTGAACATTACAAAAGAGTGTTAACTGGTTAAGCATTTGGGTTTTGTTACATTGTATCATCATCATTCCCTTCACAATTCGAAGCCCTTTTTGCACTTTATTCCACATAATTGGCAGAAAAAGCTAACACACATTCTCAGGTCCCGTGGGTAGTAGTGGAGTCTATACATGAGCATTTTCTTCCTTATTTGTGTTAATCATATACTATCTGGTCATAGTTTACTGCATCTTCCAAAGATGACTTCAGAACCAAACAGATTCACTCATCAGGGCGGCGGCAAATTCTTTCTAATCCCAGCGGTTCCTGTTCATATATTAAAACACAACTTTGTCAATACTTCCCACACCTAACATAAAGGCTGAGATCAATCTTCTTACCTCTGTATTGTCAAGGTCGTAGCGAACAAGAAACACGCAGTTACATCTCCCGTGATCATGAATCCCTCTCTTGATATTCACAACATGACCATCACAGTACAGTGCTTGATCCTCCCTTTCCTGCTCATTAACCACCCCAACGTTTCATTCTTAAGTTCAAAATTTTCTGGCTTAATGTTCCATCCTTCATTAATTAGATCAAAGTCAGCCTTACTTGGAAACATAGAAGCAGGTCTCCAACATTCACTCTCCCACACTCTGATGGTTCTACAGGAATAGACCGCTCACGCACTGATGTTTTGACATTTACCCACTCATCGTGTCGGTTGTCGAACCCAGAAAAGCGTACACGCACTTCCTGTTGCAGACACTCTCAGTTGCAAACAAATTAGCCATTAAACAAGAGAGAAAAACCTTACCAGTTCACCAGTTCGAAGAACTCTATAAGTAAGGAACGAAGACACGTCATACCTGAATAAACAGAATTCCAGCAAATAAGCACAGATATAAAACAAAAAGGTATATTACATGTCCAAAATTAGGCTTATGAATAAAGTGTTTTCTTAAGTTCACACTGAACATGTACTTAGGTAAGGGCACTCCTTGTTGAGTTAACAATCAACAGAGAGTACACACACTTCATGTTTTTACTTAGGCTACTTAACAAAGTCCTATGCTAGCAGTTGTCCCCAAATGTATGTATGTTTATTACTTATTCTGTTTGCAAAATCCAAGAGTTAAAGCAAATATAGAAACACATGATATTGATATTCAATGCAAGGAAACGTTCTTACCACGCGTTGTCCCGCGCTGATTTAGCCTCAAAAGCCAGATCAGCTAAATCAGAGGCCTTACCTGTGTATGAAAATGTTCATAGGTGTTAACTAAAAGAATCAAAAATGGCAGACAATAAAAGGAAACAAACCTTTTCGTGTTTGAACAAAGGTAGAACTCCCAACAAAGGTAGCATTTGCAGCATAACAACTGGGATTAGATAAGTCATGAATCTGCAAAGGGGGAGATGGCAAAGTTTTGAATTTGGGTTGAGATTTCTGCTTCAGCTTCTCCTGGAACCAAGTCTGTATCTGAAAACACCTTAATCAAAAGAAGAAGTTATTTCTGCTCTACTTGCATTTTTTACCACTTAGTTATATGAAGAAAAAAAGAGACGCACCTGTTTCCAGGTTACCGTGGATTTTCCATTCCGATTCACAGAACAACTTTGAGAAACAATGAAAGAAGACATAAAGCTTTTTTTTTAGATACTGTGCATGAAAAACAATAATCCAATAAAAGCCTCACAAAATGCTTGTATCTCGATTCTCTAACTAACACATTCAATGGATCAAATTATCCTGAAATCCAGAAGAAAATACCTAAAAGTGGAGGCAACAGTTTGACAGAAATCTTTGTGGAGAGATTGATCACCGAGCTCCTTATACAGATTCTCCATGTCTACAATCTTCGCAGGAGAAGAGCAAGCATGAATCTCTAATCTAAGAAAAAAAAACATATAGCAAAGATGATACCTCGGCCAAGGTAAACTCGGTGAAATAGTGAGAGGAATCATCGGGAGCAGCCATTATCGAGCGCTGAAGAAGAAGAAGAAGTTTAAGCCAATTTGCTACAACAGTGATGCCTTCAGAGTTCAGTGTGCTTTAATGGATTGATGGGCCCAAAATATATTACTAAATGGGCTTAAAATCACTAATTTAAAACCCATACTTTATCCACAAGCATATAGTGAGTACTATTTATAATTTATAATTGACTTTGAAACAATCGAGACAGGGTGAGGGAACCCATCCGCGGGGCATCTTCCAAGTCATGAGCTGGTGGTGGAGTGTTTATTAATTAATATTCATGATTACTGACATAATTAATCACTCACTACCATACTATATTTTATTTAATCACAGCTAATTCTCACTAAGGCTCTACATTTCTTTCTTTCTTTCTTTTTTTGGGCGACAATCCAGGCCCTTATTTCTCCCATATAAGATTCGTTTACTGAACATATCGAATAAAGTAATAAACATTATTGTTTGTTAGTTAATAATAAACGTGTGTTAAAGCATTTTAAACGCACAAATAATATTAGTTGAAAATGATGGCAAAGGGCCTGATTGATTTGACCGAGACACAAACACGCAAACATAGAAAATTTAATTAGGATTTTGTACTCGGTTACATAGCTGTCATTCTGTGTTACGTAGTTTTAATTACCGAGTATTTGGCTAATCACGCACGCAGTATATATAATGTACTTTACTTGATAAACAAATGTTAATTACCATCCATAAAATGGGGTCAAGATGTTTGAACTCAATACGAGTTACTTTGACATTTTTAGGCTGTGTGTAGTTGGTACGAGGTACACTAATAAGTCATAACCAAATAACTAATCGCAGTAGACTAATTAATTTCTTACGTAAGTCCTCGTTTTTCTATACCTGTTCTGCACTAATCACTCCTCTCATTCGTATCACCGTTGCAATCTCTTTCATACGTTTCTTAATCCGTTAATCTTTATTAATTCTTAAATATCTACCTGCTCTATTGTTGACTAGAGAAGGTGAGGAAAGACAAAATAAATCAAGCCAAAAAGACAACCTGTCTACATCATTTAGCACCAACCTTATACAAACGTATTAATCAAATATTTAACTCGTGTATGATTGACTAGCCATCTTTCATTTCCCACATGGGCCATCCTGTTAAAAGATGTTTCATTATTGCATGGATTACTATAATAATCACAAAAATTTAAAGGCACCAATCAAGTGGGGGATTTTGTTTATTGTTTTTGTTGGAGATTGTGATAAAATAACAGAGAGCACCAGAGGGAGCTTGCAATAGTCATTGTCCCTTATTTATCCTCGTCTCTTCACCATTTTCTTACTCTTTTCTCTCTCAATCTTGCAGAGGCACTGACAAACACACCATCTTTGCTTATCTTTGCTCTGTTTTCTTCAACCAAATTTATATTTCGTCCATTTCTACTCACATATGGATCCTATCAGTCTATAGTCTAAAAGAAGAAGAAGCACTTAACTTAGTAGAATCAAGATCAAGATTCATAATTAGATCTAAAGATGGATTACGATCCGGCTCATGCTATGAGCAGAGGTGGGAGTATGCGGCAAACCATAAGTCGTAGTGTTAGCAAAGCAAGCAGAAACATGGAAGACATATTCAATACAAGCTCTAGACGAACCAAATCCGTCAACGAAGACGAAGAAGCTCTCAAATGGGCTGCCATCGAGAAACTCCCTACCTACAGCCGTCTCCGCACCAGTCTCATGCCCGAACTTGGCGAAGACGACATCTACGGTAACCAAATCCTCAACAAAGAAGTTGACGTCACGAAGCTCGACGGCGAAGAACGTCAGAAGTTCATCGACATGGTCTTCAAAGTCGCCGAGCAGGACAACGAACGGATCTTAACCAAACTAAGGAACAGAATCGACAGAGTTGGGATCCAACTTCCGACAGTGGAAGTGAGGTACGACCATTTGACTGTGAAAGCTGATTGTTACACCGGTGATAGATCACTTCCTTCGCTTCTTAACGCCGTGAGGAACATGGGAGAAGCTGCTCTAGGCATGATCGGAATTAGGCTTGCCAAAAAAGCACAACTTACTATTCTCAAAGATGTTTCAGGGATCGTCAAACCTTCAAGGATGACACTTTTGTTGGGTCCTCCCTCTTCGGGGAAGACCACACTTTTGTTGGCTCTTGCTGGTAAACTCGACAAGTCTCTTGACGTCTCTGGGGAGGTAACCTATAATGGTTACCGCCTCAACGAGTTTGTTCCCATCAAAACCTCTGCTTACATTAGCCAGAACGATCTTCATGTTGGTATCATGACTGTTAAGGAGACTCTTGATTTCTCTGCTCGGTGTCAAGGTGTTGGTACCCGTTACGGTATAATCTTAGACTCTTAGTCAACTAAGTCTTGATGTTTTTTTTATTGGTCGATCGATTGATTAATCTTACTTGTAATTGATGGCAGATCTTTTAAATGAGTTGGCAAGAAGAGAAAAGGATGCTGGGATTTTCCCGGAAGCTGATGTTGATTTGTTCATGAAGGCCTCTGCTGCTCAAGGCGTCAAGAGTAGTCTCATCACTGATTATACTCTCAAAGTGAGCCCCTCAACCATAAAATACATAATTGTGTTGATTATTTGTAACATAAGAATATCTTAGCTAGTTACATACATAATCTTTTTTCTAGTTATATATAGTGTTCATATGTTGAGATTTTTAGATGTTATTGTCCTAATTATGGTTATTAAACTTTAAAAGCTTCTTATGGAAAACGTTTAATGAAACTGCAGATTCTAGGGCTTGACATTTGCAAGGACACTATAGTTGGAGATGACATGATGAGAGGTATTTCAGGAGGTCAGAAGAAGCGTGTGACAACTGGCGAGATGATCGTTGGACCTACTAAGACTCTGTTCATGGATGAGATATCCACCGGGCTTGACAGCTCCACGACTTTCCAAATCGTGAAATGCCTGCAACAGATTGTTCACCTCACAGAAGCCACAGTGCTCATATCTCTTCTCCAGCCTGCTCCTGAGACGTTTGATCTATTCGATGATATAATCCTATTGTCGGAGGGACAGATTGTGTACCAAGGACCTAGAGACCACATTCTAGAGTTCTTTGAGAGTTTTGGGTTCAAGTGCCCTGAAAGAAAAGGAACAGCTGATTTCTTGCAAGAGGTAAATATATATAGACCTAGCTTGGTATTAGTATTTGATCCGAAAATGACTTACAAATTACATTTACGTGTGGAACAGGTTACCTCTAAGAAAGATCAAGAGCAGTATTGGGTTGATCCAAACAGACCATATAGATACATTCCAGTGTCGGAGTTTGCCAGCAGCTTTAAGACATTCCATGTTGGAAGCAAACTATCTAACGAGCTATCAGTACCGTTCGACAAGTCTAAAAGCCATAAAGCAGCTCTGATGTTTGACAAATACTCAATCAAGAAAACAGAGCTTCTCAAAAGCTGTTGGGACAAAGAATGGATGCTCATGAAGCGAAACTCCTTCTTCTATGTCTTCAAAACCGTCCAAATCATCATCATAGCCGCAATTACGTCAACCCTTTACCTTAGAACTGAAATGCACACAAGAAACGAGATTGACGCCAACATCTACGTCGGATCACTGCTCTTCGCAATGATTGTCAACATGTTTAATGGTCTTGCGGAGATGGCTATGACGATCCAGAGACTTCCTGTGTTCTACAAGCAAAGGGATCTTTTGTTTCATCCACCATGGACATACACGCTTCCCACTTTCTTGCTAGGGATTCCAATCTCCATCTTTGAATCTACAGCATGGATGGTGGTGACATATTACTCCATAGGATATGCACCAGACGCGGGCCGGTTCTTCAAACAGTTCTTGATTATTTTCTTGATCCAACAAATGGCTGCTGGGATATTCAGGTTCATTGCATCTACATGTAGAACCATGACCATAGCCAATACCGGCGGTGTACTGGTTCTACTAGTCGTGTTCTTGACTGGAGGTTTCCTTCTTCCGCGAGGTGAGATTCCGGTTTGGTGGAGATGGGCTTATTGGGTATCCCCTCTTTCTTACGCTTTCAATGCCATCACCGTCAATGAATTGTTTGCTCCTAGATGGATGAATAAAATGGTATTTCTTCTTCTTCATTTTTCTCATCTCCCCAAGTCATCACCAGCCTACACTTGTAGCTTATGATTTTTGTTTTGTTGGGTGAAAAAATGCAGTCTGCCAACAACGCAACGAGGCTGGGAACAAGTGTGCTTAATATTTGGGATGTATTTGATGATAAAAACTGGTACTGGATAGGAGTTGGAGGCTTGCTTGGTTTTACTGTCATCTTCAACGGCTTTTTTACATTGGCACTTACTTATCTAGACCGTAAGTTTCTTTTGTGTTTGATTCTGTTTTTGTTGTCACCGTAAGTTACTTATATATGTATCATGACAACAGCCCTTGGGAAGGCACAAGCTATACTTCCAAAAGAAGAAGACGAAGAGGCTAAACAATCAGGCCGCAAAGCTGGATCCAGTAAGTGTTTCTTTGTTTAAGAATTTTTTATATAAAACAACAGATTAAGAACCTAACTCTTTAATCTTACTAATATTGGAAAACAGAGGAGACTGAGATGGAGAGTGTGAGCGCCAAGAAAGGGATGGTTCTTCCTTTCACTCCTCTAGCTATGTCATTTGACGATGTTAAATACTTTGTTGACATGCCTGCGGTAATCTTTTAAAACATAGTTAAATTTTGTTTTATTATTATTATCATCAACGAAAAAACTCATATACAACTGAATGGTGCAGGAAATGAGGGAGCAAGGAGTTCAAGAAACCAGGCTGCAACTTCTAAAAGGAGTGACAAGCGCGTTTAGGCCAGGAGTGTTGACGGCGTTAATGGGGGTAAGCGGTGCGGGTAAGACAACTTTGATGGACGTTTTGGCGGGAAGAAAGACCGGTGGATACATAGAAGGAGATGTAAGAGTATCTGGATTCCCAAAGAAACAAGAGACCTTTGCTAGAATCTCTGGTTACTGTGAACAAACAGACATTCACTCTCCACAAGTTACAGTAAGAGAATCACTTATTTTCTCTGCTTTCCTTCGCCTTGCTAAGGAAGTAAGCAAAGAGGATAAAATGATGTTTGTGGATCAAGTGATGGAATTAGTGGAGCT